CTTGGATTCGGCAAGTATCACAATATCATCTGCAAATATCATATTCCACGGGACTGTTTGAGGTATAGACTATGCTAATACATCTATTACTGTAATGAAAAGTGGGCTGAGAGCCGACCCTTGATGAACTCCTTCAGCTATTGTGAAGCCTGCTGAAGTACCTGTTGTGCTACGGACTATTGTTGTAGGCCCATATACATATCCTGTATTATTCTTATATATTTTTGGGGAACATTTTTGTGGCGTGGCACCCACCAGATAAGTTTTCTTGGGATTCTATCGAAGGCCTTTTCTATATCGAGAAAGACCATGTGTAGCTTTGTTCTTTTCCCTGTATTTTTCACTCATTTGCCTAATTGCGTGGATAGCATCAGTTGTTGATCTTCCAGGCATAAAGCCAAACTGTCTCTCCTATTTCGATTATGTCTCTTAATCTTTTTTCTATTATTTTTTCGTATAGTTTTAGACAGTGTGACATTAGATTTATGCCCATGTAATTTTGGCAATTGTGTAGATCCCCTTTATTTTTGAAGATAGGAACTGGATAGCTCTGCCTCTATTTTTGGGGAACCTCTTCATCTCCAAGTATTTTATTGTACAGATTTGTGAGTAGATGTATTCCATCATCTCCTAGTGCTTTAAGACTTTCTATTGGAATATCGTCTGGACCCCATGCTTTGTTGTTTTTCATATGCTTGAGGCATGTGATTATTTCTTGTTCTGTTGTAGGTTGTACAAGGTTTTGACATGGGGAGTGTTCGTCTAGATGTAGTATGTGGGGATTAAAGTTGAGAATCTCCTGAAAATATTCTTTCCATCTATTCATTATTTCTTTTTCCTTTATTACCAATTTCCCATCTTTATTTTTGATTCCTTTCGGAGCTCCGTTTATATCCCTAGAGTTCTTTTCTCGCTGTTTGGCTAATCTGTATATTTTATTTTGCCCTTCTTTGGTATGTAGTTCTTCATACATGTCATCGTATGCCATAGATTTGGCCCTAGCCACCGCCTTTGCAGCTATTCTCTTGGATTTTTTGTAATTTGTCTTGTCATCTGAGTTTTTGGATTTGAACCATATTTTATATAGGGCTTTTTTCTCTTTTATAGTGGTTTGTACCTCTTCATTCCACCACCATAGTTCTTTGTATGATTTGTTGCCCCCCCCCCTTAAGCCTAGTGTCGATTAATCTGGATGAAAGGTCTGTCCACATTTTTTGACTGACTTGTGAGGAATCTATTATTTCAATGTTTGCATTGATTGCAAAGGCATCTGTCATTGTTTTTAATTTGTCCCATTTGATGCATGGTACCAGTTTTGTCTTGTTTTGAGTGGATTTATTTGAGACGTGTAAATCCATGTCTAGTAGCTTGTGTTGTGCGGCAATATCTTCTCCTGGGATGACTTTGCAGTCTATTACATCTTTTAATCTTCTGCGAGAGATTAGCATGTAATCTATCTGTGTTTTCCTTGTACCACTTTCGTATGTTATTAAATGACTGTCTTTTTTCCTATAGTAGGTGTTGGTTAAGGCAAGGTAGAAGGCTTGCACAAATTTCAGTACGTGCTCTCCTTCATCATTTCTTTATCCATATCCAAAACCACTATGATGCCTTTTGTAGCTATCTCTTGCTTTCCGCACATGCGCATTTAAGTCACCACCAATTATGACTAGGTCATCCTAAGGGATTTCCATTATAGCTTCATCAAGGATAGCTCTAAAGTCATCTTTCTCTTCTTTCTTGCAACCCGTTTGAGATACAAATACTGAAAGGATGTGTAGTATTGATTAACCAATGCAGAGTTCTGTTGACTTCTACTACTGAGGAGGTTAGATCTTGACTGAGGATGATGCCGACACCGTTCCTATTGCTAACAATTCCATTATAGTACAACTTATACCCATCTCCAATCATTAAAGTCTTCTGACCTTTCCATTTCGTCTCTTGTATGCACGCTATATCAACTTTTCTCTTGTTCAACATTGATGCCAACTCTCTTGTCTTACCTTTAAGTGTCCCAATATTCAAACTTGCTAATTTTGTCTTCTTTGATTTGACCTTTACTTTACTCTTCACAAGATGGAGGTCTACACCCTGCACGTCGAGGGAACGCCCTAGCTTTCATATTCATATTTCCATTTGTTTCCTTCATTTTGTTTATTGGACAGGTAACCTTAGCACCCGGCTGTCCAGACTTGTCGGTGACCGGGGTGTCATCTCTAAGCTCCGAAATTCATCTTACCATATGTCTTTGCACATCAATCATCGAAGAAAAACTTGAAAGTTTTTATGCTCCTTACCAGGATTGAACCTGCGTCCTTCTGATTCCAAGCATACATCTAACCCATTAGGCCACCTGGCGATACATGTTATCTCATATATAATATATTATTTTTGTATAATTTTATTTATATTATAAATATACTAGCTAATAACCCGTCAAGAATGACGGGGTTGAGGGGTAATTAGTTAGTTTTTCTCTCTACTTTTATGAGAATTGTTACCTGTTATTTGAAAATAATTTTATTCTTTATAACCCCCCTTCCACCTTCAAGCCAGGTCCCCAGGCCTGCAAAAAAATTTGTTTTAGGTCAATGTCTGATCCATAGTTGATAATAGAATTCCCAAGAGTCCAAGCTGATAATAATTTTGAAAAATTTTCCCTAAGCCCAGTCTAATATAATTCATAAAAATACTTTGCAAGCCCAGCCCCACCCATAATAATTTTAAAAAATTTTTCTCAAACCTGGCCAACGTGTAATAATTTTGAAATTTTTACCTCAAGCCTGGAGATAGTTAAATCTCTAAAAACCATATTCATTTTTTATTCTTTTAAATCCCGCTCAATCCTACTTCAGACCAAGATCAACTCATTAGGACTAAGTGAATACTATTTTTTGAGTAAAAATATATTTAAATTAGCTTTTACCTGAGACCCAATGCCTAATATCTAATATAAAAAAATTCCCAATCATGTTGAGAAAATTTTCTCAAGCCCGCCAAAGGCCATAATAATTTTGGTAGTTAAGAACTGAAATAAAATATGTAAGAGTCATAATTCATTTAAAAATACAATCAGAATATGAAAGTTGCATGAGCCTTGGTTTTTTGATCAGGCCTAGCTATGTCTGCAAAAAAAAATTTTCAAGCCAATGTAACCCATATTTAAAATTCAAAAATATTCAAGCATCTCTATTTTAAATTATATCCAATGATTTCCATCACAAATTTAAATTTAGATATTTCTAATACTCTTAATGCTCACTGTATTGCAACAATTTTACCTCTTTTTCTCCTAAATTTTAATATTTTTATAAAATTTATTAATAAAATATATTTAGTACCATACACACAAACTAAATAATTACCCTTCAACACCGTCAGCTAGTTATGTTAATAAACGGTAAAATTTTAAAAATATCAGTATTAATTAATATATATAATTAATATTTTAAATATAATTATATTCAAGTTGGTGCATGCGTAAAGCATACGCCTTTGAAACGGTAGGTTTGTGGTTCGACTCTCGTAGACAGCAAAAAATTAACATTACATTAATTAGGGAGATACGAGAACGATCGTGTTTTGATTATGGAGATTATATAGTGAAAATTTTTTTGATAAAAAGATTTTATTTTATTATTAATTATTCTCTTTGTATAGTTTTATTTATCTAGGAAAAAATTAATTTTTTTTTTGAATAATATTAAATTTAATTTTTAAGTAACGAGTACCCGTTAATTTTTTGAATAGTCAGTAACACGCGTTTCTTTTAAAAAGGTAACGAGTAATGATAACGCATTCCTTTTTTCAGACATAACGAATAACAGCAATGCGTTTCTTTTTTGTAATAACGTTTAGAGCAGTAATCTCTAATTGGGTATTTGAATTACTTGATAAAACAGGTTTTTAAATATAAATTTTAATAATAAATTTAAAGCTTATACATTTTTAAAATTAATTTTGAAATTATAAATAATTTTAGTATTTTTATAATATATTTATTATATAAAATTTTTGTGATTTATGCATGAAATTAATTATTTGCTTTAGAGTAGCAAAGTTTTGTGTTAGTTAGAATTAGGGATGTACCAACCGATATTTTATATCGTATCAAATAGGGTCGATATTTCTCCCATTTTAAAATATCGGGTATCTGCCAATATTATAAAATTTTCCGATCGATCAGATATAAAATGGCGTTTTTAACAAAAATAAAATGTAATTTTTAAAAAAAGTTATATCTAAAAAATCGAAATCCCATTTTTATGTTTTTTTTAATAATAATAATTAATTAATTAACATTCTGCCATATTGTTATTTTTTTGTGCATTCTGTTAATAAAAGTGTGCGATAATCTGTTTTTAGTGAAGCTGGTGATATTGACAGTTACCATTGCTGCAGGCTGGCCTCTGATAAATTTGAAATTTTGGTATTCCTAAAGAGAAATCTTCAATATATTAATGTTTAATATTATTTTAAATATTTATTTCAAATTTCATAATATATTTGTTTATTATTTATTATGTATATAGATTAATCTTATTACTTATTATATAAAAGTGATTTGACAATAAAAATATTTTATACAGTTTTAGAATTGCAATTTAATTGAATATAAACTATAACTGATCCTTATAATATATTTAAATGACATAAGTTATGGTGTAGTTAAATTATACAAATTATACTAATAAAAAGTATATTAAAAATTAAAACCATTGAAAAATGATATCAGATCAGTAATTGGCCAATATCAATTTAATATCAGTAATATCGGATCGGCCCCCAAAAAGTGGTATCAGTACACCCCTAGTTAGAACTCTCTAAAATAGGGTGTGCTACTAAATTTTCACTTTTTTAAAAGTTATCATTTTGTGCTACTTAAAACTCTCTAAAAATGGGTATGCTACTGCCTTTTCACTTTTTTTTAAAGTCATCATTAAAAATGCTCATAATTATAAGACAAGTTTGACTGTAATACTCAAAAAAAAATTAACTGGAATCATATTTGCTCCATTTGCTAGCTTTTAACGATAATTTCTTAGACTTGTTGCCAAAAATGTGGGCATAATCTTGAGACATTTGAAAATGTTTTGACCTTGTATACTTCCCCGAACCAAATGACATGGATGAAATAATATCACCGCAATCAAAAACTGTTGTGATTTGGCTTTAAAAAGAATATATATAAACTAATAATGATTTTCAGAATAAATTCTAAAAACTCTTGCCAAAATTGGTATTTGCCAAACTTAACAAAATTGGCTATATAATTTTTATTTATTTATTTTAAGTTTAAAAAAATTTGGATTGTTTTGGTTCCTTTATATTTTCAAAATTTAATAAATATAAACATAATGATTGATTTATTTGATAAGTGGAATAGCTATAGGGTTTTCCTTTCATAAGTCATAGTGTTCACTCAAAAATTTAAGTGCTCTATGATACATTGCTTAAGACCTTAACTAAATTTGGACTAAAAATTAATATCTATAATAATGGAGAAAATATAGGTTCCTGTCAGGCTCCATGATAATTTGATTCTTAAAAACTATTGAACCTTAAAAATCATTTATGTTTAAAAAATTAAATTTTAACCAAATATCAGCATAAAACTTGTATATTAACTTGTTTTTGATTGTAGCCTTGTCTTCCAGAGAATTTTGAATATTTTTAATTGGTATAATATAAACTTTATTATTTCCGGCATTCCATGCCAAATATTTATTGTTAAGGGATATGGCCACACACCATGAGGCACTGTTTTTATTGTAAGGTAAAGATAAAGATATTTGAGATAATAAAGAGTTATTGAATGGCAAGCCAAAATTAATAAGTGGATTTAATGTATTCTCCCAATGATTATTACAATTTGTAATAAGTAAGTGATCTTTTAATAAAGGGTCTTGCATGTTTTGACACAAGTATTTATTGTACTCATATGTCGATGTATGAACAGGGGTATTTGATATGAAATTGCTATGGTAATTTAAAAGTGAATATGGATCTAATTGCATTGGGGATAAAACACCCAATAAAGGAATTTTTACTAATTTTAAAAATAATATAATTATAAAAGTTTATAAATTTATACTAATTGTCTCAGGTTCCCTTTCTTTAAAACTACTTTCTTGATCCATTGAATTTCATGCTACCGAAATTTATTTTGAAAAAACATCTGAATATTTTTTATAAAAAATATGTTAAATGCAGAACATAGAAATATCATATAAATTTTAATTCGACACCAATGACATATTCATTATTCGACATTTAGATTTTTGAATTTTAGAAAAAATAAATATCAAATAAAATTGTTTATTTTTAAGAAAGGGTTTTTACAAAATATTTTAAGGTATTTTTTATTTATCCATAATTTAATTTTATCACAAGGAATAAAAAATTAAAAAATGAAACATTGTGTATTTTTATTTTTAATAATACTTGCAAATGATAATCCATAATAATATATAACAAAACAAACACTAAGAAATATATATGGTATAAATTACTGTAATTTTTTGCATTTACAATTTTATAACTTTTATTTTTTTATAAAATACAATTTAAAATTTCTTCTTGTAACATAAATAAAAAAAATAAATATATCTTTATCCATAGGCGCAGCCAGGATTTTCCTAATGAGGGGGGTACCTGTGTCTATAGATAGTCATGAAATATTTTTACAAGAGAGGAGGTTATTTTTAATAAAAAAAATAAGCCTGGAACAAGTATATTTTTATTAGTTTATATAAAATATAATAAATTACTTGTATATACATTAATCTAAAAGCATGGTAATCATTTATTCCAAACAAGTATAAGGAATTTATTTATAAAATGTAAGTAGTGACATTCCTCTATTATATAGAATTGGTTACAAAATACTATGTAAAACTCCACTTATACAGACATATTTGACAGTTAGAGAATATATTACAGTTAGTATTTTAACAAAGTTTACTGAGTCTTTTATTCTAGGAGGCCTACCTTAATCCCATCCACTAGTCAAAGTGTTGGACAATTGGACGCAAACTTTTCATTGGCTGAAATTGTGGCCGCTATTAAGAAGCTTAGGAATAATAAATCTCCGAGTACGGATAACATTACAGGAGAACATCTGAAAGCAGCTCCCTAGCGATCTCTCGGTTCTTACTGCCTTTGTTTAACAAGATATGGTTGACTGGGATGATGCCAGCGGATTGGAATAAGACTATCTTTTGCAACTTCCCGAAAATTCCAAATCCATCTAAATTCAAGTATTATAGAGCCATCGCTCTCACGTCTATTGCATCAAAAGTTTTTATGGTTCTTTTAAAAAACCGCATTCTTTCCTCTACACCAAACCTTTTGTCTAAATACATTTGTGCTTACCGTCCAGGTAGAAATACGAACCAATATTAGCTTTAAAGATTATAATGCAGAAATGTCAGAAGTATAAATTACCTTTTTACTTTCTTTTTATCGACTTTAAACGTGCTTTTGATAATGTTAACCATGATGCGCTTTGGAAGATTTTAACCGAATGTGGCATTGACTCTAATATTATAAGGATCCTTAAAACACATTATAGTAGTCTTTTTGCCTCCTTAAAAATCAATAATAAGGTTTCTCCATCTTTTAGGACAAAAAAAGGGGTAAAACAAGGATGTGTTCTTTCCCCGCTATTGTTTAATATACTTATGAATAAAATCATAGTAGATACGCTGGCTACTGCGAATCTCTTAGAACTAAGTTCCAGTCAGTCTTTTTTCTTGGAAAATAGGGTGATATCTTATGCTGACGACATAGTTTTGATAACAAAAAGTTTGGAAGAAACCCAAAATTTGATCTCTATATTAAACTCCTTTAGTCTTAAGATTGGCTTGGATATTAACTTTGATAAAACAGTGATAAGGCAATCGTCTCAGGCGCCTCTTCTGAATAATTTGGTGGTTGGGGGAAAGTTGGTTAAGGTGGTAAAATCCTTTAAATATCTAGGTGTAACCATTGACAATAAAGGTAGTTGCAAAGAAGAACTAAAAATTCGTTTACAAAATGCTAGGGCGGCTTTTTATAAATTTTTTAAACTGTGGAAAGCTAGAGAGATTTCTGTTTTCACAAGACTCCGTATTTTCAACTCAACCATCATCCCGACTCTCTTTTATGGCGGTGATACATGGGAGATTACCAAGACCGAAACTAGGAAATTACAAACGTTTGTAAATAAATGCCTTAGAATAATAAATGGAATTTTCTACCCTAATATTATCTCAAATGAAAACCTTTGGAAGAAGTCTAACCATACCCAAGTTCACGTGTCTTTAAAAAAGAAACGTCTTACTTTCTTTGCCCATATTTTGAGAAACCATAGCAACAATAGCATCGTTATCGATGCCATTAATTGGTTATACTCCTTTAATGGGAAAACATATTGCAAATATAAGACATTATGGTTCTACAGAGTCTTGAAGGACATAATGGATCTAAACTTAAATTTGAAGCAGTTCCTAAGGCTAAATAAAAACAAAAAATCTATAAAAAAATTACTAAAAATTAAATCGAACTACCTAAACCTCTCATAATTTTTTTCTGTATTTTCAGGTTATTTAATTTCTTCAACTCTCAATTTTACCTCTTGATTTTGTCTTTCACCTTTTCTGTGAATTACTTACTTCACTGACTTTAGATTTTATTTATCTTATTGACTTAATGTACTAATTTAAATAAGTCCGTCCCATATTTTTAATTACATATACGTTGTACTTCTATGCATTCCCATTATATGAGTTAAGATATATTAATGACATTTTTGAGGAATAGTTTGTGATTTGCGTTTCCTATGTGGGCTAAAAAAATTTCTTTGACTCTTTTTAACTTAGTTTTTGGGTATGTTTTTGTATTTTTCCATAGTTTTTGAGTTTGTAATGTTTCTGGGGTAGAGGGTATCCTCTTTTGTTTATGAGACATTTATTTGTTTATAGTCATCTGTTTTTTTTATTTTATTTTTTATTTATTTTTATTTATTTATTTTTCTCTTCCCTAGTTTCTTTGGTCTCTCTAACCATAGACTAATATAGGAATAGTGGATGTGTCCTCAGTCTAGAAATTACCGATTTCTCTCTTATCTTCCATACTTTTGTATACATTTAAAAGTTTCCACTCGCCTTTGTATTCTAATTTCTCTTCTTCTTTGCAACTACTTCCATTATTAAGTATATTTCTTAAATGCATTGTGACTACATTTACCCTGTTCTAACTATAAGTTTTTGAAGTGATTACTTGTTTTTCTTGGAAAAATAAGAAAAAACTGTTTTTTTCTTTTTTATTATCGCTAGTTAACTAGATCTAACGTCTTTAACATTTTCAAAACATTACATCTTAATTGAAGTCTACATATAATACATTGGTCGTTGCCAGTGTTTCTTCTTGTTTTTATTTTTATGATCTTTATTTATTCAGGAGTGGCAAGAGTTTAACCTTGTTTTACTCATTTTTACCTTGGAGGTAGGGGATTTTCTTCGTCATTGATTTTGAAGCACAACATGTATTAGTGGTTTTCTGGATCTGGAAGATGTTGGGTTCTTCCCTTTTCTGACAAAGCTGCATGGTTAACATTATCAATAGCTCTGCTATAATTTACAAATGTAAAGCAGAAGGGGGTTTGTACTTACTTTTTCTGCATGATTATTTTTCTAAATTAATTTTTGGCTCCAGTATTTTCTTTTCTTGGCCTGTATATACTTATGTATTTTGGGGGGGGGGAAGTTTTCAGTGTAGGTGATATGCTTGTGGTTTTTGAGTGAACCAAAAAAAAATTTTCCATGCTACAGGATGTGATGACTATAGCTCAATAACCCTTTAATTTCTGTGGTCTTAGTTTTTTTTGGGTAGTTACTTAGCAGTGGCGTAGCTACGGGGGTGGTTTTCGGGTTTGGACCTCCCAGAGCAAATTTTTTTTTAGATTATACGTTCAAAAGACTTAAAAGTGACTTTGTATCAAATAAATATTATTAATATTTATATTTTTCTGGTTTTGATGTTTGTGAAAGGATATTATATTACTATTGAATTTATTCTGGGTAGTATTATTATAAAGTCATTGAGAATAATCTACTAAATTATAATAACATTATTCATGCATTTAAAAATATTTATATATATTGTCGAAGATGTGGTTATGATTTTTAAGATAAACCCGGCCGAAGGCCGGGCAAAAGGGCCAAACCAGGATTTTATATGTATGGACCCCCTCTAAGGAAAATTCCTAGCTACGCCACTGGGCCTGTTATTACCCGATGGAATTCTTATTATAATACTTTGAAATTAATAGATTCCTTAGTAAAAGAAAATTTTAGTTTGTTTGGCAAAGTCTGTGATATGGGAGGATTAGCTAGACTCTCAAACAATGATAAAATTTTTTTGGAAGAGTACTGTATTGTAAGTCCTAATAAAATTTTTTAGAATAAATATTATAATGAATTTTTTTAAATATTAAAATAGATCATGGAGCCTATTGCAACAGCTCTCACTATTTTAGAAAGTGAGGAAAAGATGCATTTGGGATATTTGACCCCGACAATAACAATAGTTATTATAAAATTAAACAAACTCAGTGGTCTAAAATATGGGCAACCATTGATAGATGCTGTATTAAATGGGATTAATAAAAGGTATTAAACCTATCACTATCAAATTAATTACATATATTTTATTTTTTTAAAGATTTCAACATATATATATATATGAAGATCAATATCTTCTTTCAGCAATTATACATCCGATATTCAAGCTTCAATGGCCTTGGATAAAGTTTCCACAAAATGAACCTTTAAAGAATAAACTTATAGCTCTTTTGAAAAAAGGCATTGAAACCCCAAGAATTGATAATGAAAGAACTGTCAATTCCGAGATATCTTTTTTTTGACGAGGAAGAAGAGGGCAGATAGGAGGATGATAACATAGCTCAATTTTTTGAAACAATGGATAAAACATTAAAGGTTTTTAATAAATTCCCCCTTTTAAAAGAATTGTTTATCAAGTATAACACCGCAATCCCTTCATCTGCCACTGTTGAGCGAGTTTTTAGTATAGCTAACGCTGTATTAACTGCCAAGCGTTCATGCCAATCAGATGAAAATTTTGAAAAGCAATTATTATTAAAAATTAATAAGAAAATTTTTTTATAAATTTATTTTTTTATTGCTCTATTATATTGTATTTATAATTATATTATCAAAATAAAACTATTATTTTTTATCA